ACGGGGTTTCACCATGTTGACCAGGATGGTCTCGATCTCTTGACCTCGTGATCCACCCGCCTCGGCCTCCCAAAGTGCTGGGATTACAGGCTTGAGCCACCGCGCCCAGCCTTTTGTTTTTTTTAGACTGAGTTCTGCTCTTGTTGCCCAGGCTGGAGTGCAAATGGCACAATCTCAGCTCACTGCAACCTCCACTTCCCGGGTTCAAGCGATTCTCCTGCCTCAGCATTCCGAGTAGCTGGGATTACAGGCTTGTGCCATCACGCCCGGCTAATTTTGTATTTTTAATAGAGACAGGGTTTCTCCATGTTGCTCAGGCTGGTCTCAAACTGCCGATCTCAGGTGATCCACCCGCCTCGGTCTCCCAAAGTGCTGGGATTACAGGCGCAAGCCACCGCAACCGTCCCAACCCACTAAAGAGCTCTTAAATCTGTGTGGCAGCATTTCCTTGCGTAGCTCCTTGTTTGTGGAAGAATGTGAACGCACACACGAATGGGAATGGGCATGTGGGGTAGGGTGGTTGGCTGTTTCCCTCTGGTTTGAAAGCATGAAAGCATCCACCAATACTCTTGTACTGTGCAGATCTTCATCCACAAACTTCCGGTGTACCTGGGTCTAAAAAGGCCCAAACCTGAGAGAGAGCAGATGCCGGAGCCCCTTCAGTCTTCTTCGCCAGGAAGTGGCTGGGGTCGGGGAACAGATGAATATTTCATCCGGAAGCCGCCAACTGATTTTCTCTTCCCCAAACCCAACAGGTAGGACTACACCCATTACCCACTTAAAAGGGAGAGGGAGAACTACAGTTCCCGGAAGACTGTGCGGAAGAAGCGGCTCGTGCTCCCGGAAGATGCTGTGGTTGAGCATCATGGGAGTTGTAGTACCCTCTGCTCGCACTGAGGGGAGATGGGAACTAAAACATAGGCGGTGGAAGAAGTTGCACAAGGCTAGAGAGATCACTGCTGGTGGGGAGAGCACGAAGGGCACTCCCGGGTTTTAAGAACTGGCAACTTGTTGGAGGCAGTTGGAGCGGGGCCTGGATCGCTGGCACTGGCTGTCTTTGCGTCTGGGCGTGGCCAAACAGTCACTCCTCTTCCAGGTTCCAGCCTGAACTGTCCGCCCCTGATCTGCGGCGATTTATCGATGGTCCAAACAGGGCTGTGGCCCTGCCTCCGGAGCTACGGGAGGTCGTCTCCTCAATCAGCTACATCGCTCGACAGCTGCAGGAACAGGAGGACCACGATGCGGTATGTCCAACGGGGGTGGAACAAGGCCGGAGCTAGGTGACCTTGGCCCCACCCCCAAATTACGCCCCAGCAACTCGCTCTCCCATTTTTTTTTTTTTTTTTTTTGACCGAGTCTCGCTCTGTCGCCCAGGCTGGAGTGCAGTGGCGCTAGCTTGGCTCACTGCAACCTCTGCCTCCCAGGTTTAAACGATTCTCTTGTCTCAGTCTCCCGAGTAGCTAGGGAGACAGGCGCGCGCCACCACGCCTGGCTAATTTTTGTATTTTTAGTAGAGACAGGGGTTTCAGCATTTTGGCTAGGCTGGTCTCGAACTCTTGACCTCAGGTGATCTGCTCTCTTAGGCCTCCCAACGTGCTGGGATTACAGGGGTGAGCCACCGCACCTGGCCTCGCTTTCGTTTCTGATTGGACATCTCCCTCATTTGGTCCCACCCCCTGCTTACCTACTGGTTCTTTATGCCCATCCATTGGCTGCAGTTTGGCTTTCCTGTTGGGCTGCCGACTTTTGCCTCAAACCGGTGGTAGGAGGACCCCGGGGGGTACCGGGCAGGAAAGTGTGGTGGGGAGGCTTCCCTGGGAGTCTGGGTCCAGAGCTCAGGAAGTTTCCTTTGCCTACCCGCAGCTGAAGGAGGACTGGCAGTTTGTGGCCATGGTAGTGGACCGCCTCTTCCTGTGGACTTTCATCATCTTCACCAGCGTTGGGACCCTAGTCATCTTCTTGGATGCCACATACCACTTGCCCCCTCCAGACCCCTTTCCTTGAAGACTGGAGGGTGGAGACCCAGGCCCTCTGCCACCTAAAGTGAGAGTTTGGCGGTACTATCAAGCCCTATCCTTCTCTGCCTCTTAACTCCTTCACGAGGAACCCTGGCCTCTGATTTCATTTCTGGGGACTGCAGTGGGACTGAGGGCTGGGTAGGCAGGTGTCTTGGAGCCCCCTGAAATGCACTATAATCTGATTTAGTCTTTGGGTTCTTAAAGAAGCTCTTTTGGGTATCAATATCTAGGTTGCCAGTGAAATAGAACAAAGAACAGGAACTAGATTGTAAGCCTTATGAGGTCAAGAAATCTGTCTTGTCCACTGTAACATCCCCAGGACCGTGCACAGGTCCTGACCTATAGTAAGTGCTTAACGTTTGTTGAATAGAGGAAAGAAATTTTGGGAAGTAAATATAGTAATTAATAATGTTTATAAGCTGGACATGGTTGCTCAGGCCTGTAATCCCAGTGACTCAGGAGACTGAGGTGGGAGGATCACTTGAGCCCCACAGTTTGAGACCAGCCTGGGTAACATAGTGAGACCCTGTCTCTAAAAAAATAGAAATAAAGGCCGGGCATGGTAATCCAAGCACTTTGGAGGCCAAGGCGAGTGGATCGCCTGAGGTCGGGAGTTCAAGACCAGCCTGACCAATATGGTGAAACCCCATCTTAATTAAAAAAAAAAAAATTGAAATAAAGTAGTGCTTATTGTTTGCATGTTGGGTCTTGTGGTCGTTTTCTTTTTATGTTTCTTTAGTTTATTATGTTTTGTAATGTGTACTATCTTTAGGATAAAAAGTTATTTCTAAAAGCATGCATTGGTAATGAGAAAAGAAAACAGGCTAACAAGATTTTTTTTTTTTTTTTGATGGAATCTTGCTCTTGTCGCCCTGGCTGGAGTCCAATGGCGTGATCTCTGCTCACTGCAACCTCTACCTCCTGGGTTCAAGCGAGTCTTCTGCCTCAGGCTCCCAAATAGTTGGGATTACAGGCGTGCACCACCACGCCTGGCTAATTTTTGTATTTTTAGTAAAGACGGGTTTTGCCATGTTGGCCAGGCTACTCTCGAACTCTTGACCTTGTGATCCACCCACCTTGGACTCCCAAATTGCTGGGATTACAGGTGTGAGCCACTGTGCCCGGCCAAAAACAAGTATTTTAAAGACCTTCATTCAAGTTCCAGCCTTGGTGCTCACACAAGCCACTAAACTGCTCTGTACCTGTTTCCACATCTGTCAGATGAAACTGATGACAGCATATGCCCTATAGGATTGTCTGGGGATCACATAAGAAGATGGGAAAAAAGCATTACGTGGTATGTATCAGAGGTTGCAATGGTGTTTTGTTTCGCCTGCACAGTTTTAAATTTGAACTAGTTCACTACTTTTAAAATGTGGATATTTCACAAGAAATTTGGCTTCCCAGCTGCTCTTGAAAATAATTTTATGGCCGGGTACAGTGGCTTATGCCTGTAATCACAGCACTTTGGGAGGCCAAGGCATGCAAATCACGAGGTCAGGAGTTCGAGACCAGCCTGGCCAACATGGTGAAACCCTGTCTCTACTAAAAATACAAAAAGTTAGCTGGGTGTAGCGGCACACGCCTGTAATCCCAGGTACTCAGGAGGCTGAGACAGGAGAATTGCTTGAACCTGGGAGGTAGAGGTTGCAGTGAGCTGAGATTACATCATTATACTTCAGCCTGGGTGATAGTGAGACTCCATCTCAAAAAATAAATAAATAAATAAAAGAATTTTATTTAAGAAAAACCAGTCGGCCGGGCGCGGTGGCTCAAACCTGTAATCCCAGCACTTTGGGAGGCCGAGGCGGGTGGATCACGAGGTCAGGAGATCGAGACCATCCTGGTTAACACGGTGAAACCCCTCTCTACTAAAAATACAAAAAATTAGCTGGGCATGGTGGTGCGTGCCTGTAATCCCAGCTACTCAGGAGGCTGAGGCAGGAGAATTGCCTGAACCCAGGAGGCGGAGGTTGCGGTGAGCCGAGATCGCGCCATTGCACTCCAGCCTGGGTAACATGAGTGAAACTCCGTCTCAAAAAAAAAAAAAAAAAAAAAGAAAAGAAAAACCAAAAACTATAGAGATAGGGACTGTGTTGCCCAGACTGGTCTTGAACTTCTGAGCGCAAGCGATTCACCCATTTCGGTTTCGGCCTCCCAAAATGCTAGCATTTCAAGTGTGAGCCATCACACCCAGCCCCAAAAATAATTTTAAAAACTATAGTAGGTTGGGCACGGTGGCTCATGCCTGTAATCCCAGCACTCTGGGAGGCTGAGGCAGGCGGATCATGAAGTGAGGAGTTTGAGACCAGCCTGGCAAACATGGTGAAACCCCATCTCTACTAACAATACAAAGCTTAGTTGGGCATGGTGGTGTATGCCTGTTATCCCAGCTCCTCAGGAGACTGAGGCAGAGAATCACTTCAACCCAGGAGGCAGAGGTTGCAGTGAGCCAAGATCGCACCGCTGCACTCCAGTCTGGCCTACAGAGTAAGACTCTGTCTCAAAACAAAAGAAAACCTACAGTAACACCAGGCCTGATTCCCCTGTTGGCAACAACTTGGCTAGAGCTTAGTGGCTGCCCACTCTGGTCAAGTTATTCATACCAGAATTCCTCAAAGCCCCTGTACACCTGCCCATCCCTCCATAACACTAGAAAAGATACAGGGGAGCAGAGGGGAGGCAAGGAGTTGAAGCCAATGGGGAGGCTACAAGTGAGAAAAAAAGGTTATCTTTTATGGCCATCACACATTTTGTGCCTCAGATTCCTTTCAATTTGGAAGAAAGGTTAGACCTGGTTTAAGGCAGGGCCATTCTGGACACAGAGACCTTGCGCCCTGCAGGTTGCATGAACTGAAGTGTTAACATTTCTGGCTGGAGGTTGGGCCAAAGTCAGTTTGAGCTTAGAGTCAACAAGCCCTAACTCAACTACTCAACTGTGGGAAGTTGCTGTCCAAAGAGGGAGCACTGGCCATAACTTGCAGGGATCCCTGTGGGACAAAGTTAGCATGTTCCTTTCCCCCAGACCCACCAGCCATGAAATAATTGCACCTGGCATCCCAATGTGGAGCACAGTTCATTTGTCTGGTTGGTTTATTGGCCTACAGAGTTGGACACACACACAAATGCGGAGATAAATATTGGTCAGTTTCTCTAAATCTGGGTCCTCACTACATATAGAGCTAGAGTCTGTAGAATTCTAAATCTTGCGTGCTGTAGCACAGAACCAGTGGCCTTCCCACTCCGCCACCACCCTTCTTCCCAGGGAACATGGGGAAAGAGGGCACAAACTGACAAGACGTGATCATTTTCAAAAGACAAAACTGCAAAATCCCAAATTTCCAACATCTGAAACTCACAATATTCAAATTCCCCAGTTCAAATACATATATTTTAATCTCCACGTCGCCACAATCTCATTTGTTGCCCAGAACCACCACATTCTGGAAGCTATTTTCCTTACTCATATTTAACAAAAAATAAATGTCTACAATCTAAATTCTCCCGAAAAAAAAAAAAAAAGTCCATGGTTTCGGAATTTTGACCTATTCTGAAGTTCCAATTCTCCGGTCCATCCTCAACCCTTCCATTTCCCATGCCTGTCTGCCTCAGAGGAGTACGGGTTAAGGACATAGGGGCACTGCCATCACCTCTGCCCCTGCCTCCAGGCCTTCCTCAGTCTCTCTTGTGGTTCCGCTGTATAGATACATAGATATATAATTTGTGTGT